TGTTTGTTTTCCCAGTGGGACGTGTCTGTTGTCAAAGTCGATCTTTTCAAGTCTTTTGAACCATTTCACTTTTGTTTCTGGTTCTGATGTTGTCATGTTTTAGTTTTGGGATTCGGACGTCGTCATTGTTGTGGTTGTTGGATCCAAACAGCGGAAAACGACTTGAGAAATTTGTGAACTAATCCGTGTTTTGTTCGTTCATTCGTTTTTCAATATAAAACCAAAAATAAGAAAATGAAAAAAACAACAGTTTTCTTCATTATTTGTCTCCAAAACCAAAATGAAAAAACAGATAATGATTCGTTTTTTTCAGTTTTTGATTTTGTGTTTAAATGAAGAATCGAAAAAACGGATAAAGGCTGTTTCCCGTTTAAGTGACTTCTGTGACTGTGATGCCGGACTGAACCAGGACTGATCCAGGTCCAGGACCAGACCGGGACTGAGACCAGGACCAGACCAAGACTGAAACCAGGACAAGACCAAGACTGAAACCAGGACTGAGACAGGACCAGACCTGGACCAGACCGGGACCAGACCAGGACTGAGACTGGGACCAGATCGAGACTCCGAGCTTTGACTCTGAGCCTCCGCAGGGTCCGAGCCTCAGCTTCGAGCTCTGGCCCTGTCGTGGGCTCTGAGCCTCTGGTCTGGTCCCGGTCTCAGTCTTGGTCTGGTCCCGGTCTGGTCCTGGACCTGGATCAGTCCTGGTTCAGTCCGGCATCGCAGTCACTGAAGTCACGTAAACGGGAAACGGCCGTTATCCATTTTTTCGATTCTTCATTTAAACACAAAATCAAAAACTGAAAAATCAAATCATTATCTGTTTTTTCATTTTGGTTTTGGAGACAAATAATGAAGAAAACTGTTGTTTTTTTCATGTTCTTATTTTTGGTTTTATTTTGAAAAACGAATGAACAAACGAAACACGAATTTGAACTTCATAAATGCAAAAGTGAATCAGATGTGTGTGACTCAAACCTCTGTTCAAACTGTTTCTCTTCCCAACAGAATTGAAAAATAGTGAAAGGTGAAGGTGATGGGCAGGATTGATCCACAGGAAGAACCAAAAAGGAAACATTTGACTGACTAAGAAATCATCCTGAGTTTACAGAGAACATTTTGTATGTGGAGCGACGACAAAACAAAATCCGGTTTGTTAATGTAGAGGAGCAGAAGACAAACAGACTGAGCTGCACTTTCTTGTTCTTGTGGTTTTACAGAAACATCACGTCTTGGTCTCTTTGCAGTGGAAGGTGTTTCTTGGTGAACAGTTGGAGACTTTCACTTTGGCGTTGACAAATGTTTCCTTTTTGTTTTTTCCTGTGGATCAATCCTGCCCATCACCTTCACCTTTCACTATTTTTCAATTCCATTGGGAAGAGAAACAGTTTGAACAGAGGTTGAGTCACACACATCTGATTCACTTTTGCATTTATGAAGTTCTCAAACAAATTCCTCGAGTCGTTTTCCGCTGTTTGGGTCCAACAACCACAACAATTACGACGTCCGAATCCCAAAACTAAAAAATATGACAATATCAGAACCAGAAACAAAAGTGATATGATTCAAAAGACTTGAAAAGATCAACTCAAAAACTCTTCCCAGTATGAATTGCGCCATGACCGGAAGTCCCAAATTCGTGCATGAATAGGGCCTAGGAGAGATCTCTAGATTACTCAGACATGCATGGACGACCCTAAAACGTCTTCAGGCAGGTTTCTGATGAAGAACAACGTTAGAAGATGAGAGAAAGTAAAAATAAAAATACAAATTGCACAATACTCCCTCTTTAAATTGGAGACTCCACTTGGATTCAAACCTGCACACGACAGAAACCACGAAAGACATTTACCAGATCAAAATATAATCAAAATATAATCAAAATATAATCAAAATATAATACTTAAAGTGGAACTAAACAAACTATTACACTGAGCTGTGCATTTGGTGTTACATTTTTGGTCATTTTAGTGCAAGTACATTTACAGCTTTCTGGTCAAAAAGGCAAAAAAAAAAAAAAAAAAAGTCCTGGAATTTAGAGCAGGAGCATCAGCGACCAGTGTGGGGGAGTAACAGATTACATGTACCAGAGTAATCAGAGTACAAATGATGAGTAACTGTATTCAGTTACAGTTACTGTTTCAGTGAGTGGGAATTGGATTACAGTTACTTTGTTGAAATAAATGGATTACACAGAGGGATTTTACTGTTGTCACATTTTGGGCTAAACCAGGTCTAAACCAGGTCTAAACCAGGTCTAAACCAGGACTAAACCAGGACTAAACCAGGACTAAACCAGGACTAAACCAGGTCTAAACCAGGTCTAAACCAGGACTAAACCAGGTCTAAACCAGGACTAAACCAGGACTCTAAACCAGGACTAAACCAGTAAACCAGGACTAAACCAGGACTAAACCAGGACTAAACCAGGTCTAAACCAGGACTAAACCAGGTAAACTAAACCAGGACTAAACCAGGACTAAACCAGGTCTAAACCAGGACTAAACCAGGTAAACCAGGACTAAACCAGGTCTAAACTAAACCACCAGGACTAAACCAGGACTAAACCAGGACTCTAAACCAGGACTAAACCAGGTCTAAACCAGGTCTAAACCAGGACTAAACCAGGACTAAACCAGTAAACCAGGTCTAAACCAGGAAAACTAAACCAGGACTAAACCAGGTCTAAACCAGGTCTAAACCAGGACTAAACCAGGTCTAAACCAGGACTAAACCAGGTCTAAACCAGGTCTAAACCAGGACTAAACCAGGTCTAAACCAGGACTAAACCAGGACTAAACCAGGACTAAACCAGGTCTAAACCAGGTCTAAACCAGGACTAAACCAGGTCTAAACCAGGTCTAAACCAGGTCTAAACCAGGACTAAACCAGGACTAAACCAGGACTAAACCAGGACTAAACCAGGACTAAACAGGAAACTAAACCAGGTCTAAACCAGGACTAAACCAGGTCTCTAAACCAGGTCTAAACCAGGTCTAAACCAGGACTAAACCAGGACTAAACCAGGACTAAACCAGGTCTAAACCAGGACTAAACCAGGACTAAACCAGGACTAAATCCTGCTGTGTGGACGTGTTTCTTCGTTTTCTATCAATAATATTTTTTATTTGGTTCAGTAAAGTCTGGACTTTTTATTTTCTTTTAGCAGATAAAACTTCTTATGTGAAGTTTTCCTCGAGTAATCAGATTACATTACTCACTTTAAGTAATTTAATGGATTACGTTTTGGTGTGTGTAATCTGTAATCTGTAATCTGTAGGGGATTACATTTTAAAAGTAAACTTCCCAACACTGTCAGCGACACATAACGTCAACAGAGCAGCACAAGCACAAACGTTTAAAAGCTTCAGTTTCCAGCAGAGACACAGATCTGCTCGTGTGACTCCAGCCGCTGTCGATTCTCACGTTTAGACTTTTCACGTAGTTCATGTTTTCATTGTTGATTGGGTGATTTCTGTTTTAAATCTCTAAACTAAAGTGTCAGAGTGGATGTTTTGCAGTGTTACGAGTCGTGTCTGTGGAGCTCGTCTCTGTTTCTCTTTTGCTCCTTGTGTCTTTTCTTTCACTTGTTCTTGTAAAGTTTCTGCCTGATGTGGTCAAGTGTTTTAGATTTATCCTCTAAAATTTCCGTAGTCGGTCATGAGTCGTTCCCCGAGCTCCTGATGCGACGCTCGGTGTTTAGTGTCCAGGCTGGTGTCACCTAGTGCCTCCGCTCTATTTCCTTTCTCTCCAGAGACTAGGTCAGGAATCAGAAAACACTGGATGGTTCGCAAAAACCCTGGAAGAGTTCAGGCATCAGCCAATCAGAGAAGAGTGAGACATTCTGTGTTGGAGACGATTCCCCAGATCGAGGATTTAAAGCCGGAACAAAGAGAATGTTTGGTGAATTTTATCAAGTTATTGTTCTTCTTCCTACGGGATTTGGAGCTTTACAAACGTCACGACCAAACAGCAGCGACTGGTTCAATAAAAAAGTCCCCGCCTCCTGTCGAGTGAACGAATCCTAACGCTGCGAGGTCACATGGTTTACACCAAGTGAAACCGTCTGATGAATCAGACTCTGTGTTTCTACGACTGTAGTGATTTTATAGATTTGCGTATTTGAAAGGACACCAGAAGTTTATTTTGACACCATGTGTTCATTTCCTGTCTTTCTCCTAATAAAAACCTGGATTTGCTCCTTTGACGCAGAAAAATGAGAACTTCAGTGTAATGTGAGTGTTGCCAGCGTCATGACGCCGCTGGACGAGCGCATGACTCTGCTGATGTACAGTGTCCCACCGATGCAAATGGAAAGTGACTCCTGCATGTCTCGCTCATGCGTCGCTCGTGCGTCGCTCGTGTTCCGCTCGCGTTCCGCTCATGTTCCACTCGTGTGCTGCTGCTGCGCTCACGTTGTTTCACTAAATTGGGGGTACGTTCGTGCTGCCTCCGGAGGCTTCTCTGATTTAAAGTACTATGTGACATCACCCAGCACTGGGCTGATCGCAGACAGGTGTTTCTGATACAAACACCTGTCTGCGGGGGCGGAGTCTGGAGTGTGGATACGCCTTTTGGACCAATCACACTGCTCCTTACACCTCCAGGCCCCGCCCCTCCTCCCCCTTTAGTCCTCCAGGCCCCGCCCACTTCAGCGTCTCTGTCTGAAACGCGGTTGTGGGCGGAGTTTCGGTGTTTAGTCCCACTTTAACGTTTCATCCCAACATCATCACATGTACAGACGATATGTCGAAGTAAGAAACAAACAAACACAGTCTCGGTCAGAAGGTCAGGGTCAGAAGGTCAGGGTCAGAAGGTCAAGGTCAGAAGGTCAGGGTCAGAAGGTCAGGGTCAGAAGGTCAGGGTCAGAAGGTCAGGGTCAGAAGCGGGTTGGGGGCGTTGTCGTTTCTCGTCAGGAGGCGTGTCTTTACGGCGTGTTCTTCTGGCGGGACGTGTGGTCCGGGGCAGAGTCTGCTGGAGCAGGTTTTGGATCTTCAGGCTCAAAGCTCAAAGTCAAAGTCGAGGTCTGATTTGCCCATCTTCTCCCTGTAGACCTCGTCAAACGTCTCGTTCATGGACACGGTGAAGACGTCTCTCCAAAGACCAACGCGCCCTGGACACAAGGAGCAGACGAGGAAGAGGAGAAGGTCAAAAGGAGCATAGGATGTAGAAGAGCAGTTGGAGAAGATGATCAGGTGGAGCAGATGGAGCAGAGGAGCAGATGGAGAAGATGGTCAGATGGATCAGAGGAGGAGCAGAGGAGGAGCAGAGGAGGACAAGGAGAGGGTCAGAGGGAGATGGAGCAGATTATCAGAAGGAGCAAAGGATGCAGAGGAGCAGATGGAGCAGATGGATCAGAGGAGGATCAGAGGAGGAGCCTGACCTCTGCACACGGTCATGGCCTCGGAGCTGCAGCACTGCTCGATGAGCTGGGAGCAGGAGTCCACCAGAGCCTCCATCTGAGACTTATCACACGAGACGCCCAGGAACCGAGCGAGATCTGACACCAGCGTGGACAAGTCCTACAGACCACGAGGAGAAACAGAGAGAGAGAGGAGAGACAGACCACGAGGAGAAACAGAGAGAGAGGAGAGACAGACCACGAGGAGAAACAGAGAGAGGAGAGGAGAGACAGACCACGAGGAGAAACAGAGAGAGAGGAGAGAGAGACAGACCACGAGGAGAAACAGAGAGAGAGAAAGAGAGACAGACCACGAGGAGGAACAGAGAGAGAGAGAGGAGAGACAGACCACGAGGAGAAACAGAGAGAGGAGAGACAGACCACGAGGAGAAACAGAGAGAGAGGAGAGACAGACCACGAGGAGAAACAGAGAGAGGAGAGGAGAGACAGACCACGAGGAGAAACAGAGAGAGAGAAAGAGAGACAGACCACGAGGAGAAACAGAGAGAGGAGAGACAGACCACGAGGAGAAACAGAGAGAGAGGAGAGACAGACCACGAGGAGAAACAGAGAGAGGAGAGGAGAGACAGACCACGAGGAGAAACAGAGAGAGAGAAAGAGAGACAGACCACGAGGAGAACAGAGAGAGAGAGAGGAGAGACAGACCACGAGGAGAAACAGAGAGAGGAGAGACAGACCACGAGGAGAAACAGAGAGAGAGAGAGAGACAGACCACGAGGAGAACAGAGAGAGAGAGAGAGAGACAGACCACGAGGAGAAACAGAGAGAGAGGAGAGACAGACCACGAGGAGAAACAGAGAGAGAGAGAGACAGACCACGAGGAGAAACAGAGAGAGAGAGGAGAGACAGACCACGAGGAGAAACAGAGAGAGAGAGAGGAGAGACAGACCACGAGGAGAAACAGAGAGAGGAGAGAGACAGACCACGAGGAGAAACAGAGAGAGAGGAGAGACAGACCACGAGGAGAAACAGAGAGAGAGAGAGACAGACCAGAGAGAGAGAGAGAGAGAGACAGACCACGAGGAGAAACAGAGAGAGAGAGAGAGACAGACCACGAGGAGAACAGAGAGAGAGAGAGAGACAGACCACGAGGAGAAACAGAGAGAGGAGAGAGAGACAGACCACGAGGAGAAACAGAGAGAGAGAGGAGAGACAGACCACGAGGAGAAACAGAGAGAGGAGAGGAGAGACAGACCACGAGGAGAAACAGAGAGAGAGGAGGAGAGACAGACCACGAGGAGAAACAGAGAGAGGAGAGGAGAGACAGACCACGAGGAGAAACAGAGAGAGAGAGAGAGGAGAGACAGACCACGAGGAGAAACAGAGAGAGAGGAGAGACAGACCACGAGGAGGAACAGAGAGAGAGAGAGGAGAGACAGACCACGAGGAGAAACAGAGAGAGAGAGGAGAGACAGACCACGAGGAGAAACAGAGAGAGAGGAGAGACAGACCACGAGGAGAAACAGAGAGAGAGGAGAGACAGACCACGAGGAGAAACAGAGAGAGAGAGAGAGAGAGACAGACCACGAGGAGAAACAGAGAGAGAGGAGAGAGACAGACCACGAGGAGAAACAGAGAGAGAGGAGAGAGAGACAGACCACGAGGAGAAACAGAGAGAGAGAGGAGGAGAGACAGACCACGAGGAGAAACAGAGAGAGAGGAGAGACAGACCACGAGGAGAAACAGAGAGAGAGAGAGAGAGAGACAGACCACGAGGAGAAACAGAGAGAGAGAGAGGAGAGACAGACCACGAGGAGAAACAGAGAGAGAGGAGAGACAGACCACGAGGAGAAACAGAGAGAGAGAGAGAGACAGACCACGAGGAGAAACAGAGAGAGAGGAGAGACAGACCACGAGGAGAAACAGAGAGAAGGAGAGACAGACCACGAGGAGAAACAGAGAGAGAGGAGAGACAGACCACGAGGAGAACAGAGAGAGAGAGAGACAGACCACGAGGAGAAACAGAGAGAGAGGAGAGACAGACCACGAGGAGAAACAGAGAGAGAGGAGAGACAGACCACGAGGAGAAACAGAGAGAGAGAGAGAGAGACAGACCACGAGGAGAAACAGAGAGAGAGAGAGAGACAGACCACGAGGAGAAACAGAGAGAGAAGAGAGAGACAGACCACGAGGAGAAACAGAGAGAGAGAGAGAGACAGACCACGAGGAGAAAACAGAGAGAGGAGAGACAGACCACGAGGAGAACAGAGAGAGAGAGAGAGACAGACCACGAGGAGAAACAGAGAGAGAGAGAGACAGACCACGAGGAGAACAGAGAGAGAGAGAGACAGACACGAGGAGAAACAGAGAGAGAGAGAGGAGAGACAGACCACGAGGAGAAACAGAGAGAGAGAGAGAGAGACAGACCACGAGGAGAAACAGAGAGAGAGAGAGAGGAGAGACAGACCACGAGGAGAAACAGAGAGAGAGGAGAGACAGACCACGAGGAGAAACAGAGAGAAGGAGAGGAGGAGAGACAGAATTTTAGAAACGCTTTGTTCCAAGTTGATCAGTTAAGATTCTTTTTTTTTTTTTTTTTTTTTTTGCGATAAGCAAGAAAAAAATTTTTTTTCCCCTGTTTGGGAACATTTTGAGCTAATATCTCCTGATAAAGTTCATAGTAATGACGTCATTAAATAAACAATATTACTAAATACACACATCTGACAACACAGTGTTTCCTGCTCTAATATATTTCTTGTAAAAAAAATAAATAAATAAATAAAAATCAGGTGAAGTGTCTCCTTTTTATGGAAGGCCATTTCCACCAGTACATAAAAAATAAAAGCCTCACAGAAAGTCATAATTATGAGTTTTAAACTCATAATTATGGAAATCATTAAAGCCCTAAGTGAGTCTGAAGAGTTTGTGTCGCTCTGTTTACCTCCGGAGGTCGAGTTGCTCAGAAGTGACACCGAGGATGAAGAATTGAATGGATTTATTGATTTGGAGTGAGATGGAGAGTTTGTTAAACTTGTTCTGTTGTTTATGTTATAGTTTATCTGAAGAACTGTTCAAATGTGACGTTAACAGTCTGTTGTTTCTCTGTTCTGTTGTTTTTACTACAACTTGACTTTTAAGATGAAATGTCTGCTCCTGTTCTATGATTTTAAAAACGAAATTTCCCCCCAAAAGTGCAACTTATATATGTTTTTTTCTTCTTTACACATTTTTGGCTGGTGCGACTTATAGTCCAAAAAACATGGTAAATAAACTAAACTGTTGTTTTTTCTTCTTCATATTCTCCTGAGAACAGGTCGGTGTTTAGGTTAAAACGGGTCTGTGTATGTAGGCCGCTCCGTGTGCACACTCAGATAAGATAATGGCACAGACGGCTCGTAAACCGCAGATTCTTTGTACAAAATGAGGTTTATGTAAGTGTTCTGAAAGACTTACCGCGGGACTTTAGACCGAAGGACGCGGCACACGCCACCGCAGTCATGAGCCACGACAAGATGAGACGGAAAACATGCACAAACAAATCAAACACATGCAAAAGAATGACACAAATACAACAAAAACATAACAAAAAATAATGTTTACATGTGGTGTGTTGTGCGTTCACTCGTCACACACTCCACGTCTGACTGGAGATGGAATAATTATAATAATGTTCTATTAAGGATTTGTGTGTCGTGTCAGTCACGTGATTTAATGTTTTTAAGACTGGGATTATTCCGTTTATTAAAATATGAAGGTTTTGCGTCTGCGTCACAAAACCACATGACCTGGTGTTGATGGAGTCAAACTCTTCATCCAGACCAACGAGTCGTATTTGTGTGAGATAAAATCTGAATTGAATAACAACAGTTTTGACTATTTTTGACCGGGATAAAGCCGATAGAAAGTGTGTTTCTGTCAGATCCCGGCTGATAAAGATCACAGACAGAAAAACAGAGATGGAGCCACTGACAACAATCGTCTGTCAGTCGATATTTTATTTCTGGTGATGGACGAGCTCCAAAAAAACCAAGAGATTTACACTAAATTAAATGATACATAACTAAAAGTATTTTTCTCTCCAGTCGCAGGTCTAATCCAGGTCTAAACCAGGTCTAAACCAGGTCTAAACCAAGTCTAAACCAGGTCTAAACCAGGACTAAACCAGGTCTAAACCAGGTCTAAACCAGGTCTAAACCAGGTCTAAACCAGGTCTAAACCAGGTAAACCAGGTCTAAACCAGGTCTAAACTAAACCAGGACTAAACCAGGTCTAAACCAGGTCTAAACCAGGTCTAAACCAGGTCTAAACCAAGTCTAAACCAGGTCTAAACCAGGTCTAAACTAAACCAGGTCTAAACCAGGTCTAAACCAGGTCTAAACCAGGTCTAAACCAGGTCTAAACCAGGTCTAAACCAGGTCTAAACCAGGTCTAAACCAGGTAAACCAGGTCTAAACCAGGTCTAAACCAGGACTAAACCAGGTCTAAACCAGGTCTAAACCAGGTCTAAACCAAACCAGGACTAAACCAGGTCTAAACCAGGTCTAAACCAGGACTAAACCAGGTCTAAAACCAGGTCTAAACTATGTCTCAAACAGGACTAAACAGGACTAAATCCTGCTGTGTGGACGTGTTTCTTCTTCTTCTATCAATAATATTTTTAATTTGGTTCAAATAAAATCTGGACTTTTTATTTTCTTTTTATCAGACAAAACTTCTTACGTTACGATTTCCTCGTCTTTGCTTCTCTACAGCAAATCAAGTAATCCAAAGTATTCAGATTACATTACTCACTTTAGGTAATTTAATGGATTACGTTACAAAAACTACATTTTGGTGTGTGTAATCTGTAATCTGTAGGGGATTACATTTTAAAAGTAAACTTCCCAACACTGCACCGCGGCCTGTTTTTCCTCCGTCCGTGTGGCTCCAGCTCTGATTCTGACCTCTGTTCTACTTCCTCTCGTTTTATTTACAACGACTTCATTCGTTCGACGTCGTCCTGCACCAACCAAGAACTGAAAAGACACACGGGCTCAAAATCGTGTAAATATTTTGTAGCAGGACGCGTCAGATCTTTGTTGATCACCAAACATCACATCTGCAGATTTCCTCCTGAAAACACTCGACTAAACACAGAATCAAAAGTGAAGACGCAAC